GATAAGTTGACAGAATTTTGCTTAACTCGCCTAAACTCGCCCTATTTTGCAATAAAAACCGACAGTTTCACATCAGTAAAATACAAATACTGTCAATCAAAATTCTTTAGACTCACAATACTCACTATATATTCTATGAGTTTGGCATTATTGGGTCATTCCAGAAAACATCCATACCACCCCCACGGAGGAAATTGGAAGTTAACCCCCCTACCGTACCCCCTTCGGATGTCCTAATACATTTAATATTATCAGAAAAGATTTTGTCTCCCCTCCCCCTCCGGACGGCAGAAATTTCGTCCGTGGGGGGAGTGTGGATCTTTTCTGAAACGACCCATTGCAACTGACATCAACATACAAGTATGTAAGCCTGATTATCTGAAATGTTATCATATTTTTAATTTACTACATTCTATGTAATGCCATAAAGCAGTATTGATCAAATAATACCACCAACTACTGTACTTTAATACAGTAAGCAGGGCTTAGCAGGCATATACAGTAATACCCAGTATTTAATAAATGACAGTGAAAATAATTGAACATAATAACAGAACCCAACTACCAAGTATGGTTGAAAATTAATATTCCCATATATACTAATATACAGATCACTTAACTATTCTATTTTAACTATACAATGATATCAAAACAAGTACTTGCTTAGCTTTTATACAGCTATCACATGACTATCAAACTTTACTAAAATACTGTTATACTTATAGTATAAAGGTGTCTATGATATCAACAGCTCAAACTGCAAAGTAATTCATTGAACTGTTTTTATATACAACCGGCAACAGAACTACTGAACCAACCATACGCGCAGAATTTTAGGAGAAATATTTTAATACACAATCACATTCACAAAATTCATGAAAAATTGAAAATATAGATTTACAGTAAAAGCAAAGTTAAAGGTGAATATTGTAGTAAACATACCGTGCTTGCTTATCTGTGACCAGCATTAAATTTAGTATTACCAGGGGGGCGGGATGCTGTCTGGGAACAGATATTGAAAATATTGCTCCCTTCAGCGGAAAAATTACAATCTGCTTACAATATTAGTGTTTGTGTTAATGAGAGGCAGTGAATTCTGAATATAAAAGCTTGATAGGAAATAGGAATATATACAATAATACAGTTTTATACAGAGGAATCATTGTCATTTACATTCATTTACGTTTCCAAAGCAAGTAAGTTGGGCATTAATTCTAGTATTATGACCGTTGGTTATCATTTAATATGCCATTATTAAAGTGCTAAATTTAATAGTAAATAATCTATAACTTCCTAGCAAGGTTTTTAGCTTCTCTTTGTTTTATATCAATGTTCATATTGAATTAAATTTAAAATTGAATACAAGGGCTGCTGCTTGCAAACAAATTCAAACCTAATTGATAATGTCATGATTCATGAAAACAGCTAAAAATTACAAAATATGTGGTGAAGCTAGTCATAGCAAGTTAACAACTGGTACTATGAAGATTTAGCATCGAAGATTTGGCATTTGGCTACCAGCCTCGTTTTGATGCAACTTGTTTCCAGGTCCCGAGTTATTGTGCGTATCATGTATGTATTGTAGATTATAGAATAAAACACTTTTCTAGGCCTGCTACTTCAAGTACTGCATACTTGCTTTGCATAATGCACAAACAAAGCAAAATACATAGTGTGTATACAATATCCAGATTTTTCCTTAACTCGCCTTATCTCGCCTTAACTCCCCCCCCCCCCATTAGACCATCTTCACCATCTTACAACATCTTTACCACCTGACAACAGCTGTTCAGCTGAACCATCCTACACCATCCGACACCACACTACACAAGCGCTAGCGTCTGACAAACAAAGCATCTGACACCATCTTACACCATCTTCACCACCTGACAACCGATGGTTATATTGGACATATATGAGTAAAGCATTTTAATACGTTCGAATTATTCCTGTATTTTATTAAAATTGTCTGTACCAGTGTTGCTAGGTCCAATGTGAAAATGCTGTGCTGAGTGGTTATATTACTACCATTCTGCTTATTTTTTAAGGTAGCAATATAACCACTCAGCACAGGTCATTTAAAATAGTTCTCTGATCTCATCGCGGTTTCGCTTACATAGGGTGTCTGGCTTGAAGCCCTTGAAGGTAAGGTCGAGTTTCTTTGAAAGTGAATCGCCCTTTTCAATACAAATGTTCTGTAGAATCATGCTTGCAAGAGTAGCAAGGCTTATCAGATCCCTGTCACACTCATTTTTATGAAGTAGAACCCTCCATCTTCCCTTCAGCTGCCCATACGCACCTTCTGTAACCATACGGGCTTTGCTCAATTGGTAATTGAAGTATTTCTACAGAGGTCTTAAAACTGCATCGGTATATGGTCTCATGAGTCATGTCCGAAGAGGAAAAGCTGCATCTCCCGCAATCAATGGAGGAACATTCGTTGTTCCTACAGCCCTTTCAGGAATGCAGCTTTCTTGGATAGAATCCCACAAGACAGTCGACTTGAAAATTATAGAATCGTGAGAGTTTCCTGGAAAACCGCAACTGCCCCATAAGTAATCTATAATGTGTATCAACTAATGTCATAAGAGCAACAGAGTAAATTTTTTTATAGTTATGGTACACTTTCGATGCCTCTAGACCTCCTGAAGGACACTTTATGGGAATGTGACAGCCGTCAACTGCAGCCCAGCAACTGTATTATTTGGGTCGACTCAAATTACAATTAGATTCGTCACATGAAAATTTCGACGTTTAAACCGAGCCTAACATTCCATGAAAATTGCAAACGCGTATGTCTGAGTGTTCAAATTATTCTCTGAGGCCTAGTTTATACGTCGAATTTCAGTCGAATTTAATTTTAATGCGTCGAAGTTCAGTCAAGTCATGATTTCCGACGAAAATTCGACGTATAAATTGATTCAATCCGACGGGATGCATTAAATGCGACGCTGTCGAATTTTGCGACATGATCAGTCGTGTAATGCGACCGAAACGTGACACTGATTTATACGTCGAATTTCCGTCGCATTTAATAAAATGAATAAATTATTTTAATCAGATTGTTATCCACAACTGTACCCTAAAATCAATAACAGCACACTTCGTGGACTCCACGAACGAGACTGGAGGCCGGGGGAGGGGGGGGGGGCAACTGCCCCCCAAATCCTCCATAAAAATTCAGGCAAGCTTTCAACTGCCTCCCTAGAAAGCATCAGCCCCGTACGCCTATGGAAAAATCCACTAAATATCGTTGTATTACATGTAAAACATACGTTTGTCACCGTACATCATGCATGTTCTATGGCTATAACAGGCGAAGAATTTGAGGGATGGATTCCAAATGTAAGCGTTGGTTACTGCAAAAATTACTGCCCAGAAATATATTCCGTATCAATGATTTTCTCTTTTATGATGTATGTTCTTCCGTCAATGGAAAATAACTAGACACATAATCCTGCCATAAATGTGTAACCATCACTTCACAAACCTCAATGACAATTTTATGAATTCTGTAAGAGGAAAAAAAACTGAAGGAAACAAAAGAAACAAAAAAAGGAACTGGCAGCTCTGTTCTAATTTTTTTCTCCAACTGGTTTCCAATTTTGTGAAGAATGGTTGGGAAGATTTGTCGTGACACGCGAAAAGTATTCTTTAAACGCTTTTCAGAATAGTTTGGCTACGGCCGGATACTACGGTCCAACTCCAACCAATAACTCCACTGTACTGATTTGTCAAATCGACGACATGAACGAATTAATATTCGGGGCATTTTGAAGAAAAATCTTCTTTTTTCTAATTAATTGCCAATTACAAAATTTACAATGGCTTCTGACGCCTTTCTCTTCTAATATTCAGGATTTATTTCAAGATAATTGCTTTGGTGAACGCCACCATATTTATTATATAGGCTTTCATCTATCCATCTTAAAGCCTGCAACACCCGCATGTTTTGATTTTCTGACCAAAATTCGACGTCTAAACTGCACGCAACACTTCGATCGAATTTCCGTCGAATAATTGTCACATTAAATTCGACGAATTAAATTCGACTGAAATTCGACGTATAAACTAGGCCTGAAAGAACAGTCAAAATTCAAAAGAATAACAAGGAATAGCGGTTACTAGAATAATCATATAATCACGACGAAATTTTGATGGATAAAACATTTAACAAAACCTGAAGTTTGCAGAGAACTTTCAATGCATATAAAATGTTTCTCACATAACATGACAACAGAGGCACCGGAATATCGATAATTGGGGGGCAGATATTCATATATTCGTGTTCTGCCCAATTAATTTCTTTTGAAATCGATTGTTTTCACAGTCTGTGAACACGAATATATGAATATCTGCCCCCGCAATTATCGATATTCCGGCGCCTCTGCATGGCAATCTCCGTCTGGGCAAATCTTCCAATATTCTGAGAATATTTTGCGGCACCAGAAGACGCCACAATCTCTGAGTCGTCTATATATTTCGAATATTTATACGGAGTATTTAACCGTTATAATATTTAATAACGAAAAAATTCAAAAAATATTAGCAGTATATGTAAAAAATATATCTAACTTGTTAATGGAATGCATTTGTTGTGTTTCTGAGTTTAGTTGATGCGATTGCTTTACGTTTTCGTCGTACTTGAACGGTCGTCAGTACTGGCACTGGACTACATAGGACTTAAATAACTACAAAGCTAGAATTATTTCGTTATTACTGTCGATGCAATAAAGTGTTTATAAAATATTGCATCAATTTATTTCCTCAAGTTGATCAATTTAACATTCATACGAAATTAAATTTCTTTTTACTTCCTGTGCGTTTCCTATTGGTCAATCGGTTCTGAAACGAAATCTAATTGGCTCATCTAGAATCAACAGGAAGTTGATCAATTTTCTATCAAATGAATTGTGAAGAATGGATGGATGTTAATAAGGGTACAACACAGAGGAGCGTAAGTGGCCCCTACCTTTTTAATATTTTTCTAAATGATTTAGAGTTGTACATAGACGGCGAGAACGCTCTTTTTAAATATGCGGACGATTCAAATATAATAGTGCCAGTTTGGAGTGACGGCCCTGATACATCAACTGATACAGTTGGACAATTCCTGAGCTGGTATGACGATAATTGTAACCCTGGTAAATGTAACCCTGGTAAAAGAGCTTTTCATCCAGAAGAAGGGATATAATGATCAACTCGACAATGTTTATAATATACCCTAATGCAAAGAACTTCCCCTTTTAGGTACTACTTCTCAAGACAATCTCAAGTTCACCAGTCATGTGCGAGGTAAATTGGTCAAAACAAACAAATGCTTGTACGTTATACGAACACTCAGGGCAGAAGGCTATAGCCAATGTGAGATAGATTATCTATTTAAGACACTAGTAATATCTACTATAACGTTTGGCCTGTCCGTCTACGGTTCTTCTCCAGCCGAACTCAGTACTCTACAACGGTTTTTTGACAGATGTTTTAAGCAAAAGTATATACCAGAACCTGTAAATATTAGATATCTTTTAGAAATACAGGACAGAAATATTTTTAAAGCTTCTGTAAATCAGAAGAGTGCCATAGTCGACTTGATACCAAGAAAAAAATCCACAAGCTACTCTTTGAGGACAGAGTGTAGTCAGTATCCAAGAGTGAACACGGAACGTTTTAAATTGTCGTTTGCAAATAGATTAATTTTTAACTATAACCTATTCATATGATGTAAAGTTTACTAATGTATTCTTAATATTTACTTGTAACGTAAGATATGTATTTTTATCTTTTGATCTAATAAAAAGATTTTTGAATTTGAATTGAATTGATCAACTTGAGGAAAGGAATTGGTGCAATATTTTATCAACACTTCTATTGCAACGACAGGAATTATTATAACGGTTAAATATTCCGTATAAATATTCAAAATATATACACCACTCAGAGATTGGGCCGCTGTGCCAGAAGTAGAAAAATTGTTTTCGACCGGCAGTTTCAAGTCGTTCCAATTTGGAAATTTTTATTCTTAATGAAATAGCATCAAATGATCGTGGAAAATATACTCGAGTGTTTCAAACTCTTGAAATTTAAAAAATAAATAAATACATTTTAGAGAGAATCTTAAATCCAGAAAACGTCTCACTTTCGACAAAAATATACATGCGTAGTGATGAACTCTGAACAGTAATGACTACAATCGGTAATAGCTATATTTAGAAATACTCGGAACATAACCATATATGGTATAATTAGTTTGTTATTGTATAAGAGACGGAGAGAGACAAGTTGACAAGGTTTTGAGACAAGTGATTTCGTATGTTTCGTATTGTTTTGCGTATATAGTAAATATTTAATATTAAAACGAGTGAGGATTTGTATGTCGAGGACAACTTTGGTATACATGTGTATGAAATGATTTTTAAATGCTCATTTTTCCTCACAACGACTTCTCGTTCGTGGCGTATCATGTAGGTTGGTGACAGGTGACTAAATTTATGAAAATAAGTCAACAGTCGACCGAACACATAAGTAATATGAACAACGAGAGCGAGTACGTGTTCAGGGCCGTTGCGAAGGGACATGGATTGGGGGGGGGGGGGGGGGG